AAGAGAAAGAGGAAGAGGAAGAGGAGGAGAAGGACGAGGAAGAGCAGGAAGCAGGAGGACGACGAGGAGGAGGAGGAAGAGGACGAGGACGAGAAGGAGGAGGCAGAGGAGGGTAATGATACGGTCTCCTTCCGCGAGTGTTGCCGTGTGTGTTTTATTCGCGTGTCGTGTTAGCCGTGGGTGTTGAATCGTTTCGGTGGCTTCAACGGCTTTAACTTTGGGATGCATCCCAAGGTGCGGCAAATACATGAAAAATGACAGTCAACACTACAGTCAACACTGCTGAAACTCTAGAAAAACCAGCAGATTCCAGAATCGTTTTGAGGAAGAACACAAGCTTTTTAAATTAATGTCCAGAACAGCAAAATGCTCGATTTCCAGCATTTCGGCAGCGTTGACTGCAGTGTTGATTGATTGATGACTGTCATTTTGCATGTATGTGATGGTTCTAAAGGAAAAATATAGATGTTCTTCAGAACAGCAAAACGCTGGATGTTCCTACATTTTTCGCAATGTCAATCAACTTCGGCGTTGACTGTAGATGGAGAGAATTGCCGTGTTGTGTGTCGTGAGTCAAGCACTGTCACTTGCCAGTTGCTGGACATCACATTGCCAGAAGTGTCAAAGATGCAAAAGCACCTCTGCCCCTCGGTGGATGGACGAAATCTTGCATGCACATGCATACTTCAAACGATTGACACATTAAGCCCCCCCACCCCGTACCTAACATTGGCATCTAGTACTACCTGAGCGGTGCAAAATTTCGGCCATTGGCACCAAGCCGGACCGTAGCCTTTCACTGTCAATTTGTAAAAAGCCGATGCCATTACAGCTATGCTGACGGTGATGGTGATGATGGTGATGACCGTGACCATGACCACGGATAGTGCTATGACCGCTACGCTTGTTATCATGAGATTCATCATTATCCTCATCACAGTCTCTCTCTTCGATGACGCCGGCATCACACTCACTACGTTCAACTGACCTGAAGCAGCAGTATCATCGTTAGTGACATCGTCATCATCATCATCATCCTCACCCTGACCATCAACAGTACCATCAACATAGCTACCATCACTGAACGTTACGCCTGTTACGCATGTTTTACAAGCCTGTGGAGCGCACTTCTGTGCTCGACGAAAAAATACCAGCCACCATCACCACCATCACTATCACATCATGTCATCCGTACTTTCGGATCATTTTCTCATTGCCCCAAAAAGTAAACCCTAACACATTGAACCCTGAAGTCCTCAACCGAAACCCTAATCCACGCAACCCTACACACTAAACCGTAGCTCGACAAACCTAACTAACCCCCTCAACCCTAAACCGTCAAACCCTAAACGCTTAAACCCTAGACCCTGCTCCCTAAACCCTAAACCCTCAACGCTTAAACCCTATAGACCCTGCTCCCAGCCTCCGATGGAAAGAGAGCCCGGGCGTAGCGGAAGCCGCAGGAGCTAAGCTCGGCCAGGGGATCTACGACCACCACCTCACGGGTTTAGGGTTTAGGGTCTATAGGGTTTAGGGTTTAGGATTTTTGTCGCGTTTAGGGTCTGGGGTTCAGGACCTTGGAAGTCTCGGAGGTACACCAGGGTACTATGAAGTGCGGGCTTAGAGCTCACAATTTTGGGGGCTTGGATGGTTTAGGGCTTGAGAATGTCGGGTTTTAGGGTTTGGGGGCTTGGGATTGAGCAATTCAAATTTTGGAGTTTTGGGGCTTCTTTCGGGGTTGAGCTTGAGTTTGCAGAAGCCTCCTGCCTAAGGCGAAATCCTAAGCTTTACCAAACCCTTAACCCTGTAACCCTTAAACGTAGAGTAACAGGACCTGGTATCTTGATGACAAGGTGGAGATGAGGTCCCGGAGCACTGTGGTCTTGCCAGAGCTCGCAGGGCCCAGCAGCAGCAAAGAGCCCAGGGAGAGCTGCTGGATCGGTTCACTGACACCTGGGCTGGCCCAGATCAGCCCCAAGCAAACAGCCTTCAGAAAAGACCTGGGATTTGTGTTGGGAACCTATGTCCAAGTGGGATCCCGCCTGGCAGAAGCCGCGTCACGTGCAAGACCAGCGCATCAAGGCTCGTGCCGTGATAGCAGAGGCTGGCACGGTGCGAGGAGCCGGGGATGCGTTGAAGGCCGGAGCCTGCAGTCTTCAGCCCAAGCTGCTCCACCACGGCCAGGAGGTCATGCTGTGACAAAGGGATTTCCGGAAGCTCGGAAGGGGGAATCCAACTTGAGGCCAAGGCCACTTGCAAGGGCTTGCCGCTCCTCAGCGCCAGCCGCTGGGCCTTGAACCTGTGAAGGAGTCGCACGTAGCTACCCAAGCCCATAGCTTCGAAGATCTTTGCCGGCAGCTTGGAGAGCAAGCCTTGGTGCCATGCAGTGCAAGTGCTTCGACCCTGGACCTAAGTCCAAACTCACCTGCGGGTCTAGAAGCCTTCAAGGTCACAGACGCAGCGCTGAAGAGAGTAAGCTGGGTTCGCCGGTGCCGGAATCCGCGGCGGCTGGCTTCGTGGCCGCTGCTGGGGTGGCGGACCCGCCACTGATCTCGGAGGCTGCGAGGGCACCCCTGCAGCCTCACAGCTTCACTCTGCGTAGTCTCAGTGTTCTTCCTGTCTTTGTTCCGACTTCCAGTCGATGGTCTTGCTATTGCAAATGGCATATTTCCTGGCAGCTACTAGTGCAGTGTGCCGGGAATTTAGAACAATCTTTCGAGAAAGATTGCCAAGCAATCTTGCAATCTTGGTCTCGCCGACTAGTTGACCTTTTAGACCGAGATTGCAAGGGGGAGCAAGATTGCCAAGCAATCTCGCAACCTTGGTCTCCAAAAGGTAAACTAGTCGGCGAGCAATTGGGGCAAGTGGGGCAAGATGACCCAGATTGCCAAGATTGCTTGGCATTCTTGCTCCCACCCCCTGACCGAGATTGCCAAGATTACCAAGATGGTTCCATCAAATAATTGTTCTACATTCCCGGCACACTGCACTGGTGCCATGACTAGTGTTGCTACTTCTGCTGCTGCCAGCAATTATCTTACCGCCGCTTCGACTTCTCCAAGTCCTTCTACAAGCACTGCTCTGCTCCTGCTCCTGCTGCTGCTACCGCTACGGCCACGGCTACTAACTGCTACTACAGCTACTGCCACAAAAGCCACGACGACTGCACCACCACCCCCACTACCACCACCAGGCACTTACAGTACCAGCGTCACGAGGGTCACTATCCAAATCTTGCATGCACTGACAAACAATCTACAGCTTAAGGTTTGAAGCTGCCAAACTCCAACAGGAACCTGTGCTCGCATCCCTTCTGCCTAAGTCGAAAGAGCATGAAACCTCCGAATCCTAAGCCAACGCTTCTTGAGTTCACTCCTCTCCCTGAATGGCATGAACTCAGAAACCCCCGGCCGCCCTTGAAGCCTACGGCCCTACGACCGGAGTCAAAAGCATTGACCACAACCCTGCAACTACCAAGCACAGGAAAAGGAAACATAGCAATAGACCCTAAAACCCTACAGCCCAAAATCAAACAACCCTTAAACCCTAAGCTCAATGACCCTAGATCCTAACCCCAGTAATTAAAACCCCACATCAAGGACTTAACTGTACCTAACTAAAACCCGGAAAGCAATAACCAGCAATGACCCTACACCCCAAAACATAAAATCCAACTAGTGACATCAAACCCTAAAACCCTGAACGCGATGACCCCGAAACCCTAAACCCTGAACCTCAGACTCTAAACCCTAAACCCGCTCCTGTTCGGTGGCCGTTCGTTGATTCCCCTGCCCTGAGCTCGCCGGTCCGCCTGAGCTCTGCATGTCCGTAATGATGACAACTTAATGACGATGTTTATGACATGAACAACAGTAAGAATAATCATAATGATACCAATAACCGTATCAAAGCAATCATGACAAGCATACTAACAACTAATGATACAAACAACACCCGATCAGTTTACCAAGAACACGACGACACGCCCCCTTCTCTGGTCATCACATCTACCAAGCTAGGCTAGCAGAGCGACTGTAAACCACTGGAGTTTCCAATATGGTGGCCGCCTTAAACGCTCATCATCAAAGCTCTTGAAGTTCTTATAGCATATCTACTGACTGGCTCTGGCCCAGCTCGAAAGCATGGGCCATGTGCTGGTGCTTGGCTTTCAAGCTCGTGGGGCGTTGGGGCTCAGGGTTCCGACCCGCCCCTCTGAGCACCCCGCGTGCACTTGCAGGCAAGGCTGGCATGGGTGAGGCAGACGAATCCTGGCTCGGAGTTTCGGGCTCCACGTGCTCTCTGCAGCGGAAGTTCGAGGACCACAGAGTGCGGGACATGGGTTGCGCCAAAAAGTGCTTCTATATTCCTGTTCTGAGCGCCAACAACCCTAAGCCCGAAGTGACGTTGCCCACCTGCGGCAAATCCGCACATCGAAAGCCTCCCTTGTATCCCGATTGCCGGCAGCAGTAGAGTCGCAGTGGAATGGAAATGCTAGAAGTAGCGGTTGCAGCAGCAGTAGCTGCTGTTGCGGCCGTTATCGGCATTGTAGTTGGGGGTAACAGCAGGGATGGAAATATCAAATCTCCTCTACTGCCCCTGCCTGGCTCGACTCTGGGGCCTTCGGCGCCGGCGTAAAGGTGATCATCCCATCCTCCCAAGCACGCTCGTGGCTGGTGGAGGCATTTTTTCGGAACCCTAGGCCCTACGCTTCGAAGTCTCTTGCAATTTGCGCGCGAAGCCCCAGAGTCTCTGCGCTTGTGCAGAGGGTTCGTCAGGTTTCATAGGCCAGGAACGGCCAAAATCTGTTGCAGGATCGGCAGTAAAAAGCGCGCATGCTATCCAAACAAGGATGGAACAACCTCAAACGCCTCAAACGCTACCGCTAAGATGAGGGTAGTTGCTCAACTTCCGGACTTGAAAGGGCGCAACAGCGGAGCACCGGCTCTCCTCGCCCTCCTCCGCTGTGAAAAGGTGCCGCTTGTCCTGGAAGTACACGACTCAGCGGCTTTAGAGATAGAGTGAGTAGCAACAGAGTAACGATGACCACAGTCGGAAATATGGAATAATGACGTTTATAATTAACCAGCTTTCCCTTAAAAATGAGAATAATCAGACAGACTCATGATAAGGCCAGGCGTAGAAACGAGTGTCTTAAAAAAACAACTTTCAGCCACGTCAACAACACCCTCCGTCCTTCAGGTACTTCAGCTTCAGCGTGGAGACCTTGTTACACCGCCTCCGCTGTTGAAATTGAGACTGGGACACGAGCTTCTCATCTTGATGTTTGGTGGGGGACCACCCAACCACACTGAAGTGCAGGCATTGTGCAATACACTCTACTAGTATACTGAAAGTCTATGGAGGACATTATGAAGGATAACTAAAGGTGTAGACTAATATTGCGAGCTCTTGTGGCCCTTGTGTTAGGCCACAGGTCGTCAACTTCAAAGCGCCTCTTCAGTTCGAGACGCGGCAGGGCTCCTCCGGCCCGGGATAACACCCAACCCACCTGAAGCGAAGGCGTGTTCGTTGGCTTCGCTTGTGGCTCAACTCTAAAGCCACACTCACACCGCTTGAATTCAGCAACTGCGAATAAGCAAGCGCTAGAACTCAGAGCATTACGCCGAGCTTGCGTTATCCCTCCGTGTCGCCAATACATACTGCTCCGTCCAAACGAGACAGCAAGTGTGGTCCAACAGCCCCGCATGTTACTTTACAGAAAATGACATACGATGATGTGCAGTGACTGAAGTGGTGACACAAATTCGTCAACCTCCTCCTTTGCTCCCATTCCATCGCGCGGCCGCCAAGTCAGTGGGGCTGGGCGCCGTCTTTTCGCTCCGGGCCGCGGCCGCGAAGCCGTCGCTTGGGAACTGGGCTCACTGGAGAGGAGTTTATGATAGTTTAGGGCTTAGGTTCTGGAGTTTAGGATGAGGGAGTCACGGGCTCGGGCTTAGGGCTTGCATCCGTGGGGCTTAGGGCTTGGGCTTTGGAGGTCTCCGAAGGCTACATCTGAATCTGGTTAGAAGGCGCACCCGCATCTTGCCCCTAAACATCCCTAGACAGATCTGCCAACCAGCCGCAATCCCGAACTCCAGACTTCGAGCCAGCCTTCGCCCTTCAAGAGTCGAAGGGCCCAATGACCGTCTGGAAGCCAGGCGGCTCGGTCAGCAGGCATCGGGGTGCCTCCCTCCTCGATTTCTTGGGGTGCTGGATGCAGAGGTCTAGATGAATTTGAGGGTCTTGGACTTCTTGCAGTTTCGAGCAGACATAACTGACCTGAACACACCGAACCCCTCCCGACTCTGCAGCGCAGCACTTGATAGGAGTGCCGTACACTCTCACATGCCCCAGATTGAACCCCGTCTCCTGCTTCCCTGCATCGGCTGTTGGCGTCGCTGGCGGTGTCACTGAAGCTGCATCATCGGCATCTTCATCCTCACTCGCGCATGGGGGTGGGGGCGGCTTTGGCTTTGGCCTTGGCCTTGCCTCGGTTGGAGGGTGCGGAGGCGGAGGTGCTGGGCGTGAGTCGCGTGAGGGCGTGGCGAGCCACTGGGCTGGTGGCGGCTTGGGCACGGGCTCCGGCGCTTGCGCGCCGCTCGGAGGCGGCGGGGGTGGAGAAGCCTTCACACCCTGAGCCGGATGGGTCGGGGACATCGCCGCCAGCTGACACTTCGCAGGGGGAGGAGCCTTGTAGATCAGGGCCGTGGCTTTTGCTGCCGCCTTCCCAAGAACACAAAGGATCGGGAGCACAGGTCCGATTCCAAGAAGCTTCATGCAAGAATCCTGAACCCTCGAATGCTCAAACTCTCAAAACATGAACTCTCAAGCCCTAAACCCTGCACCTGTGACCCCATTAAGCCCTGAGCCCCCCTGACTTTCAAGCCCTCGGAGCCCCGATCACTGAGCCTTGGGATGATCGTTTCCCGGAGCCTGCGATGCCTGGACCTTAGGGTTTTGGTTTTTCGGGACTCGGGTCGGGTGAAGGGGGGCTCATGCTTTAGCATCCTGGCCAGGACGTATTTATCGTTTAAGTTTAAGACGTGGGGAAAGCAATGCTGGCTGAGTTGGTGGGACGCTGGAACGAGAGCAGAGTTGCCTGAGGCTTAGCTTCTGCCTGGAGAAAGTCGGAATCTAAGTGCTTTATTTTGGACGTTTGGAGCTTGCGACGCTTCAACGCGAGCGGTCTCGAAAGCACTGCTTGCTGCATCCCCAAATGCACAAAATGCACCCTTCACAGTTTAAAAATGGTTTAAGGATGTTTAAGGCAGTCGAAGACCCATGCACGTACCATTCACCCGGAAGTTCCGAATGGTCCAAGGGGCCCTGCCGGCCGCGCCCTGGGAGCTGCCCTGGTAGGGGATCACCGGGGTGAAGATCACGGACTCGTCCGAGGGAGATCTCGTGAAGAGCTGGGGCTTCGATGCCAGAAGCTCTGGCACCGAGAACTGGCCCCCAAGCCTGCGTTCCAGCTCCAGCAAAGGCACACGACCACCGGACCCATGAAGCTCCTGGGCAAGGAGCTTCTCCTGGGCCGTGAGGCTGGGGCTGGCGCCTTTAAGCGAAGACAAGGCCATCTTCATACTGGGATGGCATCCACGGTTGGCCCGGTACTCAACGGAGATGCCCTTGCAGTTTGTGGAGAACTTGCGCCGGAACCAGGTGGACATGTGTGCCTCAGCCGGCAGCTGCCGGACCCTCACCTTCACCGCTTTACCCGTAATCAAGGAGAGCTCCCGGAGGACCCAAAGGCGCCGATTCCCTGAGATGGCGTACCACTTGCTGCCCGCTGCCCACACTGAAAAGCTGGGCAGCTGGGAAGGAAGCAGGCTCCCATCCACCAACGCCTTCAAGGTATCCACCAGCAGCACCCCGTTCCGGAAACGAACCTCAGCGCGGCCCGTGGCGCAGCAAAGAGATGGCTTCCGAAGGGTTCAGGATTCCTCAAGACTTTGGGGAAGTGCTGCCTGGCGACCTTGATAGAGTCGTGACTCCAACCAATGTCGCTAGCACAGAGCTCCAGTGAGCCTTGCTGCGTACCAGACTCTGAGGAGCTGCTTTCGGAGTCGCTACCAGCGTCTGGAGGCGCTGCGTTGCCTCGGCACCCAACAAACAGAAAACAAACCCCCTCAGGAATCTCCTGGAAAAGTGCAGAAAGCCACCAAAAAAAGTATCTGACTTCACCGTGAGCCTCCAATCACACTCAGCCGCGGCACTCCCGGCCGAATCTGCAGCTGCCTCCAGTTCCGTCACCTCTGCCTGCCGCTTGGAGGAGTTTTGTGGACTGGCAGGTTCTTGCGGGATCACCCTGCAGCGCAAGAGACCGTAAGCATCTCTCTTTATCACGCGACCTTCAATGACCACAGACCCTCTGTACTCAAAGACTCTGTTTCCCCTTTGAGCCTGCAAGTCTGCCAAGCGCTCGATGCTCTGCCAGTGCCCACGTTGGCATCTCCGCCCATACCCGCAACGAATTGCTCCCTGAATTTCACACTCGGCACTAGAAGAACCTATCACACTTCGGCGATGTTAGCGATCTGGGCTTGCAACACATCTCAGAACTTTCTCTCAAGCACAATATGCATATGATGCTGCATATGCACGATTCCAGTTCTGCTTGTCTTCTTGTCATCGCTACGCATAGTCTTGCTCCTACTCTCAATCTCATTACTGCTCTTGCAATGATGAACATCTTTGAAGTCTGGATACTTCAGTAGGTACACGATTTTTGGTCCATGGCAATTTCAGAAGCTGTGGCTGGAGCTTCGGGGTTTGGGGTTCGGAGCTTAAGGTTTCGGCGTTTCGCATTGTCTAGGTTTCAGGCCTTTAGGGTTTGTGTAAGGTCGAGCTTACGGTGAAAGATTTGGAGTCGTGCATTCAGTCTCGCATAAAACAATTCGGAAAAAAACACAGCTATCAGCGCACGAGATCAACCTTGAAGCCAAGCTACAGCGGGCAAAGGGTTCGCGTGGAGATAGTTGCCGTGGGGCGCATCGAAGTTGCAGATACCCCGGAGATACAGACAACAATGCTTGGGCAGCTTGATCTTATCTGTTTCCTTCGACAAAGCCTCGTAGATGAGCAGTCCTGGATGCTGCTCACAGAATCTACGCAGATTTCCACGTTCAACGATGTTGCGGAATGGTGGGTTCTTCTCGCAGAATCCTTCGAGCTTGTCACACGCCATCGGTTGGCCACAATCTTCCTGAAACAATGGGTGGTCTCTAAGGGTGGGCTTGTCGGGGGCAGG